TGTAATGTAATTTCTTTAAAACTAAACATCATATTATATAAAAATACATTGCATTTTTATAACAATATTGGTGCCAGCAGTTTAGCACAATAACTATAGAAACAGGTAAAGAAATTTGATTATATGGAATAACTTGTATTTAAAATACAATAGCATTAATGCTATTAATATAATGCAGAATTGTATGCGATGAATTAAGAAAATGGAGTTTCAATAGAGACAGATTTATTGGCTACATGATGTCAGCATGTTGTAGAGTTACGAGATTCTCCCGTCTTAATATTGCACATTTCTTGTTTTTTCATGTTTTGTTGGTTGGATATACTCTGACTTACCGACGAGGCTGCAGCTGCCTGCGAAAATACGAGGGATGTGCTGTGATTGACTCCCTTCAGAGCCAATGAGTGAGTGAAAGAGTGGTCCCCACACACAGCATTCCTAGGCGTGTGCGTTTGCTGTGTGCGACGCACGCTGCCTGTTATTATAATTATAGCAACGAGTCACGGCTCCAATTTTTTAGAGCTAACATAGCACACACGCACTTTATCAAAATATACTTAAAAGCTAAAGTTTACAACTATACACTTGTAATCCTCTTTTGCCTGCCCAAATGCATTTAATTTTCTATATAAATATGTTGCGAGTTCGATCAATAGTTGTCTAACATGAAACATAGATATAATCAAATGCATAAAACGTGTATAAACGTTTATAATACATATTTACAATGCATTTCATTATAGTATTAAAAGCATAAAAACATCTAAATATTTGTCACATACAAATTGTAACTTAGTAACAATACAATCATTTAAAAATGAATTAAACACAATTCATGAATTCACTAGTCATTGATATAATCAAAAAGTATTATAAACTTGTTAAACTTAGTACAAACTCTTCACAACTATAATTTAAAAACACATTTTTTTTATTAAATATATAGTTTTCAAAAAAAGTTAGTATATTTCATGTTTTCCTATTTGTAAAGTGATTCATTTTATTTCTTTATTTGAAAAACGAAAAAGAATATTCATATCATGTTTTTTAAAGATAATAGAATAAATACTACAAAGTATTACAAACATATTCTTAATCATTTGCACAAAACAGAAATAGATAAATATTATCTTCATAACACTTACATATTAAATGCAGAAAAAAATAAAAGCTCTATAGTAATATTATATATTGCAATTAAAATTTTACTTTCAAAGATATGATTCTTTCTAGCAAAAAATTTAAGAAATTAAATATGCTGTCTATCATATATACAGAAGAATGTATAACAAACACTATTGTCCATTAAAATAATTTAAATTAGTTAATATACTTTTTCGCATAAAATAATTCTTTTTAGAGAAGATTACAATATATTATAGAATAATGTTTATAATGCTTCGTAAAAAATTCACATAATCGACACTAACAATTTTACAATAATTGTTAGCATTCTTATACCTAAACTTTTGCAAAGTTTTTACCCAATCCTATTAGACCACAATTCATAATACCTTCTAATATCTTGGTATATCATATCCGACCAAAAAGAAGGGCAGAAAAGTAGGAATGACATAACAAGATTTCTAAAATAATTATGAAAATAATTACCTTCATAACCTCCCTGAATTTTCCAATTTCTCGTGTAATCAAGTCTCTTTTACTTTCTTCTATTTCTGCATCATCCAGGTTCAAAGACTTAGCAACCATTTTTATTTGATGTTCTTCTATAACATATAATTAAAGAATATTTGTTAGTTCTCCAATTTAATTCAATACATTACTATGAATAGAATTAGTACATACCAGGAGCAGCTTGAGCCATTTCTAAATCAGCGGCATGTTCAGCTATAATTTGATTAATACGTGCTAGTGCATCTGCATCCACTACTCTCATACCCTCATCCATGTAATCTTCACCTTCTTCTCCTTCTGCCCCTTCAATTGATGTTTCATCTTGTAGAGGCGATTGGCCTCCTCTTAATTTTTTCCTTCTTTCTGCTATTATACACAAAGAAGTAACAAATCAAAATAAATGATTAATATGTATATATGTAAATACTGCAAGTATTTTAAATTTACCTTTGAACTGATCCAAAACGACTTTAGCTTTTGCATCAACTTTGACAACAAGCTTCTTTGTACCTATTTCCATGTCATGAAGTAATCTAACTGCTCTAAGACCTGCATCAGGACCTGCATATTCGCAAAATCCAAATGCTTGAACTCTTTTCCATGAAAGCACATGACCACATGCACCCAAAATATGTCGAATCATCACATCAGGTGCTCTTTCCATAATGTTACCAATAAATACGGTAACTGGCGGGCCAGATTCTCTTTCACGGCGACGATTATTGTCATGACGATTTTGGTTACGTGCATACCGAACAGCTGGAGCTGAGGTCTGCATCGCAGATACGGGTGTTGGAATCATCTATGTTTTATAAATGGTAGTATTCTTAATAATGCACATCTCTACTCATGCAGTCCAGAATCTCCCCTCCCCCTAATAGTATGTTAACCTTTTTCCTTGTATTATATTTTAATATAAAGGTAAGACATGCATATATCAAATAAAAAGAACTTAAGATGAAAATTTGTGCCAGAAAACATAACTTTTAGAAGACGTCTCATACAATAATCCTATAGCATAAGTAGTTAAGTAATATGCATTCCATTCATAGTGTAATTTAAATACAGGATATTAATACATTATACAAAACAACTGCATTAACATATAGAAAAATGTTTAATTATGATATAATCAGTGATGTTTAAATTAATAAAATCAAACATTACATGCTTTTGATTTTTCTTTTACAGTAACTAAAGATGCTTATTATTTTTCTTTTAACATTTCTGGCACTTGAATATATTACTTTTTATCTTTTATTTAAAAAACAAATAGATTATATAAAGTAATTACATTATTACGAATTAAATAATACATCAATTTTTAATTAATATTTTAATTATTTAACATATAATCGTTATCATTTGAAATGAATAAGAAAAATGACACATTAAAATATTAGGAGATTAATCTAACAAAGAAATTATATTAAGTTACATTACTTTGTATTAGAGTTTTAGTTAATAAAATAATTAGTTTCTTTATTGAAACCATTGAAAATTTTATTGACAGCAAGTGCAAACGATTGGTAACAGGAAATCATAACTTTACCAACAGCATACAAAACAAACATGCCCAAATTTTAGAATATTTAATTTTATATTTACTTACATGTGCCATAGGCATTACACCACCAATTATTGGTGGAGGTGCACCAACCATGTAAGGCATTGGTGGCATGCCTGGTATTCCCATTGGGGGCTGACCAGGGTAAGACATTTCTTATTTTAAATAATACTATGGCAGTGTTCTCACTAAAATATGTAATACAGTTATTTAGTGGAAGTAATATATAAAAGATATAGTTTTATTTCAACATAGAACTTTTATTAATACTGATATATATATATATATATATATATATATATTATTATAATCCATACTTACAATTATTAGATTTAAAAAAAAAAATTTAATGATTGCAAATAAATGAAATCTAATGTCTGTAAGTTGTATTATGTAGTTACAAAAACATATTTTAATCATATTGTACTTGAAATATTTAAAAAATTGACATTAAATAACCTTTGATACATAACAATCTTCTTAAGCACACTTTCTTGAGATATAATAAAATACAAGTATGAATTTAATACTCTAGTAATCAATATTACAAAACAAATATTTGAACTATGCATAGACATATAAACATTACTCAACATGTAAGTTTGCTGTGTGAAAACATGTTTTTCATAGTAATAGTTATAGATATCAGAGAAGACTCTAATGGATGCTTTGATATTCTAACCATTAAAATGATCTCAACAAAGAACCAATACTGTACTTACATAATATATTTGAAAATAGAAATAAAGCATCAACCATCATTTAACAAATATTTACGTCATTTTAATAGGACTCTAAAGCTAAAGGAATATTACAATAAACACACGAATTGAAACTTCCACTTTCACAAGCCGTCAGCTAGTAATTACTTCTTTTCGTCCATTACGGCTTCATGCGCTGATTGCTTCTAGAAGGCTATGGTTGATGTTACATTTCTCATGGGTTCGAAGACTCATCGTAAAAGAACCAAGCTACATATGCAGCAACTTACGACTTCCACTCTGTAATTTATTGAATTTTTGATAGAACATATTAAAACAAAACAAATTAATATTAAATATTTTAAATTGTATACAATTATATCATTTCCTCAGTAGAGCAGCATTTAGTTTTAATTTTAATTTCAATTTTCATTTTCATTATCATATTTTGTTGTACGAAAGACACCATTAAAATGGTATGAAACAAATCTATGTTTAAATAAATTAATGCCAGAAAAACCGGTTTACTTACACATTAAATTGTATTATAATTATATAATTTTTACATATAATTCTTTATAATATTGTTTTACAGATCTACAAAATATTTAGAATTGTGTTGTAATTCTTTTTTTTTTATCGTACTTTTCATTATTTACTTAATAACCTTTATACTGAAAATGTAAAAAATAATTACGAAAACATTGAATAGCATTACTAGATATTTAAATAAACATTTTTATACAAAATCAATTAAGGAAATTAATTAAAATACATTTGACATTTTTCATTTATATAGATAAAATTTATATAAATTTGTAATATTCAATGGTCATCTAAGGCTGTAGATGTTACCAGATGCTACCAATGATAATATTATTATATTAGAAAAAAATACATTAAAAAATATATGTATGTTAGAAAATTCATTAATTCTCTTTTCTCTAAGCATTACATTTTTAAAAGTGAACTATCTATAACATAGTAAATCAATTATTAAAACGGATGCTATTAATAAAAATGAATATATTATGTAACAATCATAACTCATCATATTAGATTAAAATATTGGAAATATAATAGATAATGTAGTGGACAATAAAATAATATAGCGGGTTTTTTATTGTCAATATTAGCGTTATTTAAATGCTTAGTCAAGAAGATATAAATTTAAGGACGCCCTCTTCAGTTGATCGGTTTCCGTTAAACTCCTTAGTTCATGAAATGGCAGTGTGGTGTATTCTTACGCTAGGTGAAATCTTTTTGGAGGATAGTCAGAGTTTCAAAACACAAAAAAGAAATACTTTAAATTATTAAAGATTCCGATGTGCCAAACAATTAAAGAGATTTTGTGCGATGTCCTTTAATCCGTCTTCTAAGGTATACAAGCTAAAATGAAAGAGTATTTCATGCTTTTTATTAGTTAATTATTTTAGTTGACAGTTGAACATGGAATCCTTAAAATTATATTTTTTTTGTTTAATTTACACAAATAGGAAGTAATATTTTGAAAACCAAGGTAGCAAGTTATATATGAACTCTTGGGAAAGTACTAGAAAAAGCGAAGACAATTTTTATGATAATATTTACGTAATTTGTATTTATTAGAAACCTTATTAGGTAGTATTTAAATAATGCATTTTCTACTGCATCAGTGACGACTGTTGTACAAAAATATAGAATATTTCTACTTTTTTCATCACTACTATTGTACTGTAGTATTGAATTATAAAATTAATTATTATATAGTAATGCATATCTATCTATCAAATTATTATTTTATTTAATTAAAGGGATAAATAAGATAAATTTAATTACATTTATAATACAAAATGGAATTGTTTACAGTATAGGTTATATATATTCAAATATTAATTTGAATAAAATGTATTATTATTTTGGTGTAAAAGTTTAAAGATTTTCATAACATTTCATAACATATATTACATATATTTGTAATTTCATAACATATATTAAAATCTTCTATTCAGTTTAAATATATATATAAAAATAATAATTTTATATGTTTCAGTACATAAATATATAACTTTTCTTTTGTATAATTAACAATGTGTATACATAATCAAAAAATAATCAAAAGGATTATGTATTTATATATAAACTCATTGCATTCAACCAGATTATACTTATTTTTTATATCTTATTTATATTGAACATTTCTAATAGTGTATTCATAACAAATATAAAATTTAAATATAGGTTAAAATATAATTTATTTTATATAATATTTTAATTCATATAAACAATTATTTGCAGTTATATGATCATTTTATAATTTTATGTATAGAAGAATTTTCTTGTGAAATTATATAGAATTTATAATAAACTATAATATTGTCCAATTTTTTATTCTTAATAAATAGTTAATATTTCCATCATAGTATAGTGTACAAGTTAATAGAATGTTGAATTTTATATAAATAACTATATAGCGATAATGGCACCAAGACGAGGTGAAGAGATATCTGTTAAAAGAGTAGCAGCATTAGGTTGCAAATTACCTGATCAATTGCCAGCTGGGGAAATATTAACAGATATTACTCAAAACAAATGGAAACTAGGACATGCAATAGGATACGGTGGATTTGGTGATATATACTTAGGTAGTATTCATTACTCAAATACCGTTTGATTGAAATAAAATTAGTGCCAACCACGATCAAACAAACAGAAACATATTTTAATAAATTATTTAAATGTTGTATTCACTATTTCATTATCTGTTGCTATTAATATTAAATTTAAAAATTTTACATTACAGCATCAAATGACATTAATGCTCCAATTGGACAAGATGCAAAGTATGTGATAAAAATTGAACCACATAATAACGGTCCACTATTTGTTGAAATGAATTTTTATATAAGAGCAGCTCGTAAACATATGAGTAAGTAATTTAGTTGTATATAACATATATAATCTATGTTTCATATATATCTCCATTATTATGAATTTTAGTTGATACCTGGTGCAAATCACAAGGAAAAAGACGAATAGGTGTTCCAACATATGAGGGATCTGGTTCTCACATATATCGAGGGCAAAAGTATAGATTTTTAGTAATTCCAAGATATGGCATTGATATTGGAAAATTGTTTATATCAAATGGGAGAAAATTACCAATTAAACTTGTTAACAGGCTAGCTGTTCAAATGGTACTTTACTATAAAAATAGAAAATTTAGAAATTAGTTAATGATTTTGTAATTTCATTATTTTTCATATTTTTATAGTTAGATGCACTTGAGTATATTCATAGTCAAGGATATGCTCATGCAGATGTTAAAGGATCCAATATTTTATTGTCCTTAAGTGCAGAAGATATAACAACAAAAAAATTTCAAGCTTATTTGGTTGATTATGGATTAGCTTATCGTTTTCGTACAAGCGCAGGTGTACATAAGCCATTTGTTCATGATGAAAGAAGAGCTCATGAAGGAACATTAGAATTCACATCAAGAGATGCACATCATGGAAGTGAGTTTTATAAATTTGTTATATTTCATTTTTTACAACATAATTACACTTTAGTTTATTACAAATTAATATTACTGTAGCACACTCAAGAAGAGGAGATTTAGAAACATTAGGGTACAATATACTACAATGGCTGTGTGGCAAATTACCTTGGGAAAAGGAAGATAATAGTGTAACATCAGCAATGGATCCAGAAGAAGTCCATGCACAAAAAGAAATTTTACTTTCAAATTTATCATTATTTATGCATAAATGTTTTCCTTATAAAAAAGAACCACCTGGTAAGTTATTGTACTTTGTATATCAATATTTCAAATATTTTTAAATATGAAAAATAATGTAAACCCATTCTACTTTAATTAGACAAATTGCTACTTTAAAAATATTCATGACTGATATATTTAATAGATTTTTAAAATTAAATATTAATAATTAATATTTTTTACCAGCTGCCATTATGGAATATATGAAATATATTACTGAATTGGGATTTGAAACTAAACCTAACTATTCCTATCTACGTAGTTTATTTCAGTCTGGTTCTAGGCAAAAAAATGATGTTCCTACATGTTTGCACCCTTTAAGAGAATCTAATGAAAATATTTCTTATCCCATGTCTTTCAAACGACCGTACTTACGAGAAAGGAAACCTTGTAGACCTGTAAATGGCGAGGTATACTTTTACATTCTTTGTTAGTATTAAATCTTATTTCATAATAAAATAATATGCATTATTATTTTTAGATACGCATAACTCGAAATACACAACCTAAATATCCAGTTGAACGAAAAGAATTTTGTTGGGAAGCAGTGCTAGCGCTTCATCCTGATAAGCTCGCAAAAATTAGTCTACAAACTCCACCTTCACCACTTACACCACCTCCTTCTCCACCTCCTCCATCCTTACCTACATATGCCATGTTAAGCGTAATTCAGAGAATGAAAGAGAAACAATCAGGCGCATTTCGACATAAATCTTTACCAAAAACATTAGAGTGAGTATATTTAAATTATAACAGTACATATAAATTATAACATATAAACAATAACAGTGTAAAATAATTCTTTTTTTAAACAGAGATCTTAAAACAAAGTGGATGACACCAGCTATGGAACAAATAGTTCAATTAAAAAAGAAAAATTCCTTGACAACGCTTTCTTTAGCGAAGGTTTCACCACGTGTGACACGCTCCCGAGGGGCTCAATTAAAACGTAAGATATTTCTCAAATTTTTCTTATTTATGTAACTGTACTTTTATCTATATATTATATATCTACGTTTTTTAATTCATTATATATGATCTATTAGGACTTGGAAATAAAAAATCTTACAAACAAATACAAAGCAGCAAAAGAAAAAAAGGTCCCTCAACATGAGTATGACAAACTTCGCTAAATATTATACGTTTTCATTCCTTGAACAATGGAATCACAAACGAGTTATCTAAATAATGAATGAATTAAGTATTATTTCCTATTAATTCATTTAGATTTTGTAAGAATATACTCTTGATTAAACTCCTGTTTAAAGGACAAAATTTCATTTATTAGGAATGTCTCAGGTGTATTTAGAGCACCAACTTTTGTAAGACTGCTTATATATCATGATTTATTGTTTAACAAACTGTATATTAATATAAGATTTTTTTTTAGTAACTATATCTCGAACAAATGATTATAAATAATTCAGTGGACACTTAAAAAAATTATATTGCTTCCTTTAAGAACATAATTTCAATACAATTCAAAGAAGACTTGCTAACAGGCACAATAATGAGAAATCGTTACTTTTGCATATAAAAAGTATGCAATTTAATGTCATAATAAACAAGTGATCTGAATGTTGCATCGAAAACACATTTCATCAACTTTTAAGAATTATTTGTTTATTTTATAAAATGAGTCAATAGCATGATATGCTGAATAGATAATGTCAATATTTCATTAAGTTGCTTGATTAAAATAAGGTATAGCTTTAGTGTCTAAATTATATTTCATCTTTTTTTCTTTTTTATTGCTATAATTATTTTGTAAGTTATAATTGACTGTGAGTAAACTATTTTATTATATTCGGACATTGCTAAAGTAATCTAATACTTTGATTTTGTGAGCCAGTCCTAAATGAATTAGTCCTAATTCTCATAAAAATGTAGAGGTTAATTTATTAGCAAAAATTACGTAAAAGATTTCTTCGAAGTATCACGATATATATTCAAGCATAGAATCCCTAAATATTGTCTATAATATAAACGAAGTTGTAGTATACTTTGAAATAATACAATTAAAAGTAGTGAAATGTAGGTAAAAATAATACAACTGTAAACTGTTATTAATTCTCAGTATTAAGCCATTAAATGCTTACATATGATTAAAATATAACAGTTTATATTTGTTATTATAGTTATACAATATATCAACAGGAATGCGTGTGTAGTATAAATAATATAACTAATATTTTTATTTGGTTCTAGATTTTATATATGTACAACATGTAACTAGAAAATACACAGTTATGCTTCTAATATGTTGCAATATCTCATGTAATATTATTTTATGTCATTTTTTAGTAGAACTTAATCAAACTTGTATTGATTCAGATCTAATATTTACATAACATTGTTACATGAAATACAATTGATACTTGTATATATTTATATCATAAGAGCCATGTATAGATGGAACCGTCGATTTATTTACAGTAAATTTGTGATAACTAATTTGTATTTTTTTAAGTTACATGTACCTGTGCCAGAAAAGCAGTGTTGTTAAAGACTTAAAAGTGTATTGTAATTAAATAAATACATGTGCATTTGTAATCTTTTTTATAATGCTAGTATTTCATCATATTCTGATTTATTATATGTCACTAATGTAAGATACCTGACATGAGCTTTTTTTATTTTCATGAATATTATTCTAATTTAGTTATAGAATATGTGATTAAACATTTACTATATTAAGCAAACATTACATATATATTTATTAACAGCACTGCACAAGATTCTTAAAGTATTGTCAACAAGATTATTATAAAAAGAATATAATAAAATTTACTTGCTAATTTGTATTGCATTCTAATCAGGACGATTACTAATAGTATGAATGAATAATAAATAAATAGCAAAAATAATGCATATATACCAGGTATAGAATTTAATTATATGTGTATGTTATCATACATTTTATATATTATTGTATATTATATTTGAAAAAATATAAAATGTAGTATATAAAATATATTGTTTAAATAAATTTATTTAATTATCTTTTATTTATAGTTACATACTTATTAGTTAATGATTAATATTATTATTGGTAAGATAAGATATTAAAATTATTTTTTGATATGATATGATTACATTAAATGGAAGGAAATTTATTGTACTTTGTCACTATATAAAATTTATGACTATTTTAATGAAATTATACTCAACTTTTTACTTCAAAAGATCAAAGTATAAAATTATTATAAGTATCAAAATGAAATAAAGAAAAGGTGTCCAAAGATTTTGTAAAGAATAAATATTAAATACAAAAATGACACGATATTTAAAACTAATATCTAATATGTATGCTATTACAATATCATTTTAAATTTTAAATATTACTAGCGCCACAAGTGAATGAACATTAATCATAATCATAGTAATGGGTATAGGTAGTAAATAAGTATACGTACTTAGATGCTACCACACCCGTGAAATATTTTGTGACTTTTAATATCTCATTCAGTACAAAGATTCTTAAAAGTTGTCACTAATAATAAAAATGATAAAAAGCCAAAGACTATATTGTTTTATCTTAATAATTACGAAGAATAAAGATCAGTGCACAGTTAACCTTATTTCTTCGTTTTAAATATAATGTCACCATTCATTTAGTGATTCAGATTTAAACTATTCTGAAAGAACGTCACACTAATATCTGCAATGTACTTACAATTAGTAGTATAAATAAAAATTGAATTATAGGAATTGTATTTATAAAACATTACAATATATAATGATAATATTATTTCTACTTTTCTATTTCTGTGATCATATACTTAGTCAAAAATATGAGGGTTGTTTTCGAAGTTCCGCGTTGGATCCCGATTTACCAACCTTAATATTAAATCATGCTAATACACCTACAGAATGTATCAAAGAATGTCGTTCACGTTATTATATGTAAGTTATTGTTATAATATTACTATAACGTTTGTTACAAATGTTATAATATTTAATATTTTTAAAGTAAAATTTAATATTAATTCACATTAAAATTAATAGGTTTGCAGGATTAATGAATGGTCAACAATGCTTTTGTGGTAGTAGGTACGGTAGGAGAGGTATATCTACTTCTTGTACTTTTCTTTGTATTGCTGATCAGAACAATTATTGTGGTAGTCAAGATGCAATGAGTATTTATTCGACTGGACAAACAGGTTTATTTTTTAAAAATACTATGTACTTTCATTCTATTTTGGTATTTATAAACTTAAAAACATATATTCAGGTCCTAGTCCACCAAGGAGTGCACAAATAATTCACAGTGGATTTAATAATTTGCAAATTACATGGGAACCGCCTAATATCAGAAATGGAAATATTACATCTTATACTTTAAAGGCAGTGGTTGTTGAAACATTTGCTTCAAATTTAGTACCAGCCGTAGAAAGTCAGATTCAAGGAGGAGCTTCAAATAGTACCATTTTACAAGGCTTACAACCAGGCACAAAGTATAATGTATCAATCACTGCTGCAAACACCCAAACAGATAGTGAACCTACATATATTTTGGGATGGACTTTAATAGGACCACCTAATAAGCCAATAATGCCAAAAGTAATAGAACAAACAAGTACCACAATAACTGTTTTATTATCAGAGGGAAGTAGTGAATATGGTCCTGTTAGTACCTACCAAGTATTTGTTTGTCAACCTGGTACAATACCTCCATCAGGTCCTAATGTAACTTATTACAATTATGAAACATCAATACAGCAAAGTCTAGGATATTATATTACTGGAGAATTTGAATCTTCAGAATTTTACAAATATACAAAATTTATAGTAGGAGATGGAAAAATGATTGGCGCATATTATAATGCACCATTAAATACTCAAGTAATGCCACAAATAGGCTTAACAGTAGTTTCTAAATTTCAAAGACAAGTGCAGTACGCTTATTCAGATCTAATTAATAAGCTGACAATTTATAATGAAAGTGGAAATAACAGTCTAAATTTGACAATTTTTATACTATGTATTGCAATTGCTGTTTTGGGAACGTTACTTATAGTTTCAATAATACTTTATTTAACATTGCAAGAACGCCATGAAAAGTTTCGGATAAGGAAACTTCCAGAGCAACAAGAACTTACATTGCAAGGTCCATTGTACGAAGTTGACAATTTAGCATATATTCCAGAGGATGTACCTGAAAGGGTAAATCATTATCAAGAACTGAAAAAGAAGGTATGGATTATACCACAAAACTTATTGATGATTAATGACACTACGATACGTAGAGGGCGATTTGGGACAGTACATACAGGTGTTATTCAAAAAAATGACAAATCCTGTAGTGTAGCTGTTCATAGTATAGCTGACAAATTATTGAAAGTATCTGACAAAAGACATATGTTACGAGAACTAGATGTTTGTATTAAAGCATCTCCTATGAAATATCTTGCAGATCTTATAGGAACATGTGAAACTCATGATACATTACACGTTGTACTTGAATTACCACCTCAGACATTAAAAAATTGTCTATTAGCTGCCAGATCTGGGAACACATTTCCTGTTGAACATATTCTACCTATAGGATCTATGATAGCATCTGCTTTACAACATCTTGAAAATTATAAAATTATACATGAATATCTTTGTGCACGTAGTGTAGGTCTCTCAAATGAATGGATACCTAAACTAATGGGACATGGAATATCCAAATATGCTTTAGAAGATATAAAATATACTCGATGGATGTCTGTTGAGTGCCTTGGTAATAGAAAAAAACACCAACCAGCAGTAGTCTGGGCTTTTGGTGTACTTTTGTGGGAAATGCTTAGTATGGGTGGTACACCATATTCTAATTTTTCGCTTGATAGTGAAGTGGAAGAAGCAATTGAGCAAGGAGTTAGATTACCACAACTACCAGATACTCCTGATCCACTTCACGAAGTTATGTTATCTTGCTGGAATATGGAAAGTCAGGAAAGACCAACATTTGCAGAATTAATAAGATTGGTAGGAATTATGTTTCATTTTATTTTAAATGCATAGAAATAAAATATTTTCTATTTCTTGGTCTGACTATCCCATTTTGCATTTTCAGGAAACCTTAAGCATTTGTCCAGTCACTGCAATTACTGAACCATATATCCCAGAATTAGAATTAAATTAATATCATTAATAAATAAGTGTTCATATTCATGCATTTACGTGACATTATATATTGTATATAACAATTTTGTTAAATATCTTTAAAACCTATTTTTATGTATTCTAAAGTTACCGTTGCATGTAATTTGTGTATACTAGATTTTATATTTTTTTTATAACTTTTTTATACTATAGATTTTTATTTTATACTTCCGTATTTTTTTCTTATAAAACAAAGTATTATAGAAGTATTATTAATACCTTTCCGTCCACTGAAGTGAAATCGAAAAAGCGTACGATTTTCATAAAATATAAATTTCTACTTAAAATATAATATAACACAAAGTATTCCTACTTTAAACTTTAAACACTCATAGGTAATGATTATCTGTTTTGTGTTAAATTTCATAATAATTGAAAAAAAACTTCTTAGCATAATACTTTAAATTTTATATTATTGTAAAACACTCGTAGTTTTATTGAAGAAAAAATTTTCATATTTTCAATTGTAAAAACCTTTCTTATATATATAATTGATAATTTTCTCGCTGAATACAAATTTTACACATTAATAATTCGATTTACCTATATCTAAAAAATTATAAAATATCTATAAATAATAAAACACTGATCTTAACTTTTATACCTGTAAACAATGTACTTACTATTAATGTTCATTGTAGTAGACATTAACTTGAATAAGCATAAACTCTATTGCTTTGTATTTAAATATAAGAACATATGTATATTTTAAATTGTGTAATGTCTCAATTTTTATTTAATGTCACAGAGAAAATGTTACAGTTAATGTTAAAATTAAAACTTTTTAAATTACTTTTTAATCCAAAATATTTTTATAAATGATTTTATAATTATTTATTTCATTATATATTATCTTTCACAATTATATTTGATAAATAATGTTAATATAATTTTTTACAATGCATTATTAATATATTATAATTTCTCTATTCCTCCATTGAATTACAATAATAAAAATAAAAATTTAAAATATTTTACTATTTCTTCTTTAAAATATATCTTTTAATAAAAATATATATGTTACAATTATGAACTTTTGTCCTTAAACTAAAAAGTTATTTGAGAAAAGATATAATTTTAAACATGTATGTGTGTGAAATATACATATACATATGTATGTGTTGCATCAGGTGGTATTGATACATATTTAGTTACTAATATTTACTTTTAATATCGGCCTGATATCACCAAAAATACAGAACGTTTATTCAGCAAGAGTGTATGGCAAAAAGTAATCGTACATAATATATAAAATGTGAAATAAAAAGACATACGATATTATCATTAGATTCATATCTTCCTGGAGCACATGACAATTATTTATTTCCGAAATCCATTTTAGTTATTAATCGATAAAAATGGCTATGTTGATGTTTACACGTTTCATAAATTTGCGAAACGTAATAAATATTAATAATTTTGGTGCTATTGGAAGTATATTAAATATTACACAATGCTCGGTAAATCAAAAATATTAAAGTGTTAATTAATTCTTTCAATAAGTATTCTTTAATTACCAAATAATTTTTATAACCTTAAAAGTAATGGTAAACTAGACAGTAATACAGATTTTATGATTTTAGGACGTTATCTCTAAACCATATTGTATAAACATTAATGATGACATTATTCCTCATAAATCTGCAAAATTAACTGGAAAAAAAGTTAGTAGTGCTATGAGAGCATACTTAAAACGATCTAATGACTATAGTAAGTTATAAAGATATCATGGTACAAGTAATTTGGAAATTTTAAAACAAATCTATTAAATGATAATTATTTATTGCTTTTAGAGGAATTTATGAAAAAACAAATAGCTGAGTATGATATTGGAAAACGATATTTAGCTAATATAATGGGCGAAGATCCTGAGAACTTTACACAAAAAGATATTAATGTAAATTATATTTCTTATTATTATAGTTAATACTCTCTTCAACTATTAATCAACTATTGATCAACTATTAATATTATTAAAATTGAGTATTTATATATCTTCAACTAATAAGAATCTAATATATCAGATTCTATATATTGCAAATAAGAAGAGAATAATACAAGGAATTGATATCTTTTTAAATTTAATTACTTTTATATGCTAAAATTTGAATTTGTATAAGAATTATTACTTTTAACAGAGTGCAATAAGGTACTTATTTCCATCTGGTTTATATGACCGAGGAGCTCAACCTATGATGCTTCACCCTATAGATGTATATGGGAATAGGAAGGAAGCAGAATTTGATGAAAGTGGTAGACCACATCATTTTTTGTTTTACACTACTAAACCTAATTATTATGAAGTACTTCATGTAAGCTTTTTTTAAATCTCTTTCTCTGTACATTTTATATGAATACATTATTCTTTATTAAACAAATATCTTTACATGTAGAACATTGCAAAATCAATGATTCATTTAAACAAAATAGAGGACCAGATATTGGAAAGAAATATCCAATCAGCACCAGAGCATAAAATGTAAATGTACAATTACTTTGACTATATTTATATTTCTAACTCATTCTAAATCGTAGATAAAGTAATATTTTTTCTTTTTATTACTATTGTTTCAGAGATTTAAGTGATTCAGAATGGCTACAGAAGAACAGCTTAGAAAAGATATTGCTTGAAGAACTTTTAGACAAAGAAGTAATAAATGATATATAGCTCTATAGCTTTATTTTAAACATAATACCTTAAATTCATTAATTTGTTTTAGTATGATTACTTTATAAAAAGTATGCAGAGATTAGTTGATCATCCTGTATCAAAGCATGCAGAATCTTTTATCATGGAATATAGAAGAAAATTATCAAGTATTAATGAGGATATAAAAATTCCAAAAGTATGTATATTTTTTGTTGTATCAACTATCTTTCTTTTCTCATTAAAAATGAAAATACATTTTATTTTTTTATAGCCTGAATATGATAATGATAACAGGCCTTTTGTACTTATCGACAGTAAGTATAAAATAAACTATCAATAATATTCCCATAATATTGTAATTGTATGGTTTAAGAACATTAAAATATTATTTTCAAAATTAGAAAAATTATTTGCAAGGAAATTGTTTATTAATATCAAAATTCAAAATCATGACTCTTTTATAGGATGTGCAAGAAAAAATACAAGAGGTGAGGTTAAAGTGATAGGCAATGGATCTGGAAAAATTACCATTAATGGAAAGGATCTCACGTACTTTGATGATATGCAATGTCGTGAACAGGTACGTATGAAAACAGTTTGAATAATTTCATTTTGCAAAATGTGATAATAGTTCGCTGTTAAAATAATTTAAGTAACTATTTATAATATTCGTATGTGTTCTACATATGAATAATTACGACTTCATTGAAAAACCATTTTACGATACACAAAAAACAAATATTGATAAGAAAATTACAATACACAAAAAACGAATATTGATAAAAAAATTACAATACATATTTTTTATATGAAAATAGGTAAGTATTCTAAATAATTAATATAAGTTGATACTGTTATACAACATAATTGAGGTAAGTACATATTATAATGCAGAGTATTAGTCAAACTTATTAATTTCAATTTATTACATATCAATTTCTAATGCACATGTAAACAATTTTGTCTAAAATAATTATAATTAGGCATAGTAGTTAATACTATTTTATACTGTACATATAGAGATATATAAAAGTTAGTTATATTAAAATTAGTTTGTTTGATCTCAAAGTTATATTAAAAGTTATACTAAAATTTATAATATATAAATGAAGAATGTGTGTGTGGTTCACACAATGGAATTTGATCAAACAGTTATTTCAAGGACAAATAACTTTCCAATGATGATGTTGAAACAATATATGTTTCTCCGATTTGTTTTTAAGATTTTAACTAAATTTGGGCTAAAAAAGTTATTAATGATAATTATCGTTTATTTGGGATTTCTTAATTTACTTCTTAATCTTCATATTTGATTCCTTTCATTATAAAGAACAATTTAAAAGACTTATTGAAAAATAAGAAAAGATAAGCAGAATTCTCTTTTTTTAATCTCCTTTCTGAGATAGAAAAGAGAAGTACACTTTACATGTAAAAAGATCTAAGAATATATATAACGTGCCTATAGATAAACTTAAAATTAACATTTCAAATTTTCCGTTTCCCGCAATGTTACTTTGTACTACAATGTGTCTTTTCCTCTTCTTCAATTGCAACGAAAAAGATATGTGCAAGATATCGCGAAAACTAGTAAATATAAATACCAGTCGATCAAATTTTATGGTATATTCATTATTAAAATTTATGAATACAGGATAAACATAAGATACAAAGATGAGAAAGTCCCTATAAATGAAAACGAAACCAAGCCTCGCGAATTGCTGATATTTCTGATGTATGCGATTTATCGTGGTCTCCGCGATCTCAGAACAGACAATGCGTCTAAGAAGCTCGATTCGAGTTCAGTATCAATCGAGTCGTCAGATAGAACGACAGGCTTATGATGTTGTAACAATAACACCGTCACATTGAGTAGTACGGTCGTTCGTTCGATGAAACTGATCGTATTCGCACGTGAATACGATCGAGAAGTGAAGAACGGAGAGAAGAACAGTGATCGATTTTCTTTTCGATATTATTAAGCTATCGGTAAAGAGACAAAATTGTTAAAAGTTTGCACCATGCATCGAATATCGAAACGCGTTTGTGATGGAAAGTCAGTGAAAACTCTTTTTTCGAATTTAAAGAGCCATCCTATGAATTTTGAAATAATTGTATCTGATAATACGAAAAAGGATATTAAATATTATCTGTTAAAAATATATAAATTCAATCTCGAACGATGAAAGTCGATAATGAAAAGTGTAAATGTTTAAAGCTTGTGTATGTATAAGCAGGATTTGATTTTGGACATATAATAAATGTAATGTGACGAAATAAAGTTACATCCGGTTATTGCAATTTTGTTTTTAATAACATTTTTCAAGTGTTTTCTGTTTTTGTGATATTGAATCATCAACGTGTTTCAGAGTAACAAAAAAATGATCGTTGAGTTAAAAGAAATGTTTAACTACGACTCAAAAATTTTAGTTCAACTTAATTTAGAATACTTTACGAAAATTAATATTTTCAGGAAACTTGCAGAATTTTTATTAGAAGAAACTTTTGATAAAATTAACTTATATTTTAATTAGTTACGTATCACTTAATATTTAAAAAATGAGCTTCCTTTGTTCGCTATCGCATTATTAGATGTATTTAATTTACGTAATTCGTACATTCCTTCTTCGTTGTATAGTTCCGTTAAACGTATATATTTTCTACTTTAGTTAAAAGCTTACATCCTGGATTCTTATCATTTAAGAACGCGAAATACATATGTGTAAACGTCATTCCGTATAGTTTTGTCATGCTTTCAAAATTGAATCGGTATGTCGAGAATGTTTTTGTCTTCGATACTTGAAGGACTCGATCTGTAAATAAATAATATCAGTTTAAAGGTAACGGCACAGCACTTCGCAGTCATCAGTCTATGTGCCCGATTTTCCAATTGTCATTCGCGCCTCGCGTGATGCACAGTCAGACGTCATCAAAAAGATCATCTTATACTTTATTGATGGTAAAATTGAAATAAAACTTTGAAAAATGTTTAAAAACTAAATAAATTTCACCACGATGATTGCGATCAATTGTAAAATTAATGATTTTTCCACTTAGTTTGTTTGCATTTGTAAGATTTTTGAGCGACTTTAAATGCTATAAGTGTCTTAATAACATAATTGAAACAAATTGTATTCGAAATCATGATATTATTACCTTTTAACTTTTGCTGCATAACACCATAGTTACTAAATTGAGTCCACAATGCATATCTAGGAATATTATTAAATACATTTTTATAGGATAATAAGATAGAGATTTATAGGATTTGCAGAATAATAAAATATAGATCGCAAAAATTTATATAATGTTATTCGCGGAGCATACAGAAATTTATTATAAACAAAATAGAACGATTTCTTTTTACTTTAAATTGAAAAACATTTTAATAAAATGCTGACTATTAGTAAAATCAAAGGATGACTCTTAAACAATAATAAGAAACTGTCAAACTGTCTATGAAAAGTATAGAGTTTAATAATAATTTTAACGTATCACGAACGCTCCAATCGAAGTTCACATTTATTTAAAAAATCTAGCTTTTGTTAAAGGATCCTTGAACGATCCGAAGTATAAATGATAATTTTTCAACATACAAATGCGTCTGATGAATAAGATTCAACAGGATCGATCGATTAAGCAAAGCGACGTCACATAATTTTCTACTCAATGCACGTTCACGAATCCCCATCGACTTCATTCATGAATTAATACCTCGCGAGCCCTTTTACTACTCATGACAATGCTCTTTGTAGATCGATGATGTAATCGCGTAAAGCGCTAACCGAGAAGGATGGAGATGAACCATTCGCAGGCCTCGAACTCGCCACCGGCGAAAAAGAAAGTACAAATGGAGAGGATCATCGATATGGAGGACGTAACGGTATCGATTCCGAATAGTTCAAAGCGTACGACCATGACTTCTCTACTCTTAACACGATGGTTGGCGTCGAAGAGCCCGCATCATACAGAAGTAGAGACAAATTGGTCCTCCGATGATCAAAGTTTGGAATACGGAACTCCGCCTCCTATCGAAGAGCCACATTGCTATTCTATGTGTGCCAGTGAGAGCTCTTGTACAGAGGAAATAAATTGCACCTTGCAGGTAAACAAAGATATAATCAAGAATCTATTAGTGGAGCATATGAGACACATTGGTGGTCGATTGCAACTCCTTGACGATCTGGAGGAGAATAAAATGGATCTAAAGAATCCTGAGCATTTCGTAAAATACTATAAACAACAAGAAGTAAACGCTTTGCTACTTCACGCCAGTTTTCTTGGTCGGATAGACGCGATTGCTGGATTGCACAAGTGCGGAGCGGATTTAAACCACTCGGAACAAGGACAAGGACTAACTCCGTTACACTTATCTGCGTTCAGTAACTCTTTAGAGAGTGTACAATATTTGCTCACTAACGGTGCCAACATTCGTCTGGGACGAACTCATACACCCTTTCATTACGCTGCTTTTGGAAATGCTTTTAAAGTAGCTCAATATTTCCTTCAGCTAGGCGTCAGTCAGGAATCTCCTTGCGGAGAGGAGACCGTGTTACACACTGCGGCCAGATCAAACGCTTACAACGTATTAAAGCTACTGGCATCTAATAATCATATCTTGAATAATTTAGACTGTAATGGGTACGCTGCTATACACCACGTAGCGGACAGAGGAGATCCAGCTGGCTTGTTGGTACTACTAGACGCAGGTTGCGAGCTAGATCTGATGACTAAAAAGGGTGACACTGCTCTACATCTCGCAGCGGAGTCTAGTTGTGTGGAAAATGTCGATCTGTTGGTAGAAAAAGGTGCAAATGTTCACTTGAAGAATCATAGAGATCAGACAGCTTTACATATAGCTTCTCGATCTCATTCCTTGGAATGCGTGGAAATATTGCTAAAGAAAGGTGGCTGTGATCCTAATATCGAAGATAGCGACGGAAGAACGCCTTTACATCTCGCATTAGGTAGATCGTTGCTGGCTTATGACGTGACGGAATTGTTAATAATGTGGAAGGCAAATATTAATAAAACCGATAAATACGGTTATACACCGCTTCATATCGCTGCTCTGAACGAATTGTCTCAGTGTGTGGATATCCTGATACAGCATGGAGCGGATCTTAGCGCTAGAACGAAAGGCGGGACTAGCGCATTATCCATTATCTTACGTAAAACGCCGACTTCTTTGAACGTCTTTAAACAAAGATTAGATGCCTCGATAACGCTTCACCAGCATGGTTCAGCCACCGGAGAGGCGGAGCTTCGTCTCGACTTTCATCCTCTGCTGATGCACCAACAACAAGGCGAAATAAGATATCTCGGGACATTCGTGAAAGAAGGATACAAAGAGATTCTAGAACATCCGCTCTGTCAGGCGTTTCTCCATTTAAAATGGCAGAAGATCCGAAAGTATTACGTGGGCAGGCTGGTCTTTTATCTATTTTACGTTCTCATACTTACAGGATGGGTAATGACTGCTTTAGCGCATAACTGTTACAATGAGTCGCACGGTCAATTAGACAACACTCAGCCACCATTATGTGCAAATACCACTGGTATCAACGGGTTTCTTTACAGACACCCAGCTTTACTCGAAATGGAATGGTATGCATTAATGGTGCTCACGATTCTCGAAGCATTTCGCAAATTGACCAGCATTCCAACGTACCCCTCCGTCCGCCAGTTCTTCACGCAGGCCGAAAACATGGTCGAATGGTGCGTGATCCTGAGCGTATTTGCCACTTCTTTTATCTATACGGGCAGAACGTATGCGTGGCAAAGCCACGTAGGTGCATTCGCCGTGCTTTGCGGCTGGAGCAATCTTATGCTAATGATAGGACAATTGCCAATATTCGGAGCGTACGTCGCGATGTTTACCAGTGTTCAAGCACAAGTATTCAAGCTTTTGTTAGCGTATGCTTGTCTCTTAGTAGGCTTCACCGCAAGCTTCTGCGTGATTTTTCCACGCTCGAAATCGTTTAGCAGCCCTCACATTGGTCTGATCAAAGTTTTGGTCATGATGACCGGAGAGTTAAATTTCGAGGACCTGTTCTTTCCTCGGGAAGAAGATGGGAAATCGATCGATTCAGGCGGTACCTCTTGGATTCTACTCCAAGTTTCCGCACAGTTGTCATTCGTGTTGTTTCTTCTGTTCGTTACTATCGTGTTGATGAATCTACTGGTAGGCATCGCAGTTCACGATATAAAAGGACTACAGAAAACGGCGGGACTTGCAAAACTCGTTCGCCAGACAAAGCTTATTTGCGACGTCGAAACGGCGCTTTTTCTCGGACTGATACCAAAACGACTAACGAAACTTTTACGATGGACAGCTCTGCTGCTACCTTCACCCTTGAGAGCAGTTTTAACCGTTCGTCCCCTGAACCCGAGAGAGAGTAGATTGCCTCGTGATTTGTTATCCGCTGCGCACAAGGTCGTGAAGGATAGGAAAAATATGTCTGGAACATTGTGCAGCAGGAAGAGCAACGCTACTGCATATACGTATTTAAAAAGCGAGCCATATTCGACATTTCGTCGACGTTTTCCGGAAGAAGACGTATCCGTCGATGATTACTCGGTCAAAGGAGATTTGGCAGAATTGAAAAAGATTTGCGATAAAAATCACCAACTTCTTCAGGATGTCGTGATGGCATTAATGAATGACAAGCGCATCGTTAACAAAGAAAAGGATGAGAATAATTAAGTTTTTACTCTGAGAATTCTTAGAATCTTAATAGCAAAGATATATCGTGTGAATAATCTGAGGAAGCTTAAATCACCCAATCGACCTTAGAAATGCAGGAATTGCGCATACGTACGTTTAGAATTATAAGAGTAATCCTCAGGCCATTTTATAATACCATATTTTTCACAATCTTGAAGGTTCGCTTATAGAAGATGACAATTACGTGCTTTTAATATTCGGATCAATGTGTATCGACTATCGAGTCCTCTCTAAAATTTTATAAAACGCAACATAATCTTCTGGCAATGACAGAGAATATAAAGTGGAAAATACAAATGATTAAAACGAACGTGTGTAATCAACATTGAGGATCGTTGATTAAACATATGTTTTGCATATTTTTAAAGCAAAATTCATAAAGAGTCATATATGGAGTGGAAACATTATAATTTAACTACTAAATTTGTTCCCTTCCTTTCTTTTCTGAATTTTTATAATTCTCATGGTTGGTGATTTTAAATCCTTTGCGTGTCAGGAATGTCACGAATTTGTGATAAAAGTTGAAAAAGAAGCTTGAGATGAAATATTTTAATAATAATATAACGATTATATTTTGATGTATGGGTTTGTACCCAATATTTGTAAAATATTGTATTACAACGCATTAAAGTCCGTCCATATTATGAACAAAACTATAAAAATACCTAGAAATCAGATAGAGAACTAACAGAATAAGCTGAACACAACAAAGTATTTTAATACTATTTAATTTTATACTTATAAGAATATCTTAATTGTATAAAAAGTTGTGTAAATAAGACCATGTAATATATATTTTAGCTTTTTTTTTAATCTTAATTTATTACTTATTATACGAAAACATGCAAATAAAGTGATTCTGAAATATATACCTTTCTTAAACAGAAAAATATTTTTTTAACAACAACATTAAGAAAATAGAGTTTCATCAAAGTAATTAGTGCGATAGGTGTTTGGAAATTACTCATGTCTAGATATATAAGAAAGAAAATATAAATATTTATATAATGAAATCTTTCAAAAGGTACAATTTATGCAACGACACAAGCATCGAAGCTTCAAAAACTTATTATATCGTATCTTTTGTAAAATCTTTTAAAGTTAATTGTACGTCGAGTTTAGAGTAGCTTCATTTAAATATTACCTCCGATATTTGAAAGACTTTGCTAACAATATTAACTTTAATTTTTTTTCATATATAATAATAATCATAGTGTAATGATTGTATAAACATTATGACAACGATAATTATAATTATAAGTTGAGGTTTAGTTTTTTCGGTATATGAATCATACTATTCTGTATGTATGTATTCGACCTATGTATGTACCTGTTTACGACTTTAACCGTAAATATAATTACATGACAGTGATTGGAATTCGCGATAGCATTCATTCGTGGTAATGATTCATTATCCTAGAAAGTAACAATTAATTATTGAACACTGCAATTTTTAGCTTTATTCAATCGATGTGTATGTATTTAATAAGTGTTTTAAACATATCTCTATTATGGCAAAAAATATTTATACTATATTTCATAAAATATAATTATTATATATCATAAAATATTATATCTTCTCCAAAAAATAAATAAATATTTTCGTCCTTGAAGACAAAATATTATGATCCAGTTTTGTCCACTCTGCAATTTCAAGAAACGCGTTATTGCCCAACATACTTTCGGATACGTTAGAGAAACGATATTCCTATAGGCTAAAATACGTTTCGAAAGGTGTGTAAGCATCAGACATCAAGAAACATTTTCAAACGGAAAATACAAATCGACATATTAATTAACGTGTATCTACAGTTTGCATCATGTGTTCTATAAGAAGACGATTTTTGTGATCCTTTAATCGTGTCATACCTCGCATAATGACTTTTTTAGATGGAATTTTTTATCTAGTGAACACTCGCCATGCTTTCTAATATATTCTACCGATGTTTCTTAAAATATCGATGTTTTCAACGTAACAGTGACAGTCAATTCAGGTTCTCATATTAAGTGTTTTAATTTACCTGGCAATATCACTGGAAACAATACCTCTATCCTAACAGTGACTTTCAATTTGTAGTTTCCATGTCGAAACAAAAAAAGAAAAGATTGTATTGTAACAAAAAACTGCGTTCGTTTAACCAATAGTCCGAAAGAAGCGCTTTTCTGAAATGACCATTAACACCTTCACCTATAAAAACACTTAACCGTTTCTGGGAATCTGACTGGTAATTAATCTTTCAGCGATTCAATTGTTACTTCTTACAAAGCTTTTTTAATTGTTTCTTTCGATATCTATCCCTATGATCTGATATAATCCCTAATAAATTTTAAATGTGATCTAGAATTTTCACACCAATTAAAGAAAGAATCTATTTCTATAGCAAGAAGATTCTGAAGTACTCCCATTTATCGCTAATTGAATCGATATGCTTCAATACGGCAAAATTTACATATAAAAGTATATAGTAACGCAAAAAAGTTACCTAACTGGTGCCGACTGCTCTAACAGCTTTAGTTATTCGAGTTTCATTGGTTTTCCACTTGATCGATCGATACAACGAGAGAGCAGCAAGTTCCATTATGCCTTTCGTTCTTCCCACACGATAATTCGCGTATTAAATCATATATACTTTTCTTCTTAAATCGCCGCAGGCTATAAATTTACTTTAACTTGTCTTTTTTTGGACGCATTCAAATTTAGTCATTGGTATTCACGGGATATTCAAGAACTACTTGGAGGAACCGGTTCCAATTCGTAGAAAATCAGGATCTGAACAACTGGTATACATATATACAGCCTATATAATGATAGAATATAATTACTGACCACGGTGGAATTGAACAAGGACACTAAGTTTCACGTCCACGAGTGTATCTAGATTTTACGGGAATATCTTAAAGAGCGGCGAATCTGTGAAAAGACTCACATGCGCGCGATCTCTTGCAGCGTCTGGTGTTTCGGCTTTAGAGAGCGGTACCCAATGTTGCGTGATACTGGCTTTCTCCGTATTAATTGCCAAAGTATTCGAATAAATTATCGGTGAATTTTAATTTTTTGCTGATCGTAAATGAAATCGTAGAATTATCGTCTAATAAATTATTGTCACAGAGTGTTACAGTGAATTTTTTTTTTGTATATGATCCTGTATAGCAAATGCAAATGGAAAAACTGGAAGTTATAAAATTGGATGAAAAAGCATCGAAGTTGGAAAATTTTGTAAAATAGACAGTGAGATAACAGAGGATTTATAATAGGAAATATAAGTGATTTTTTGTTTGATTGTTGCGTGTTAATGTTGAATTCTTATGTTAAAATAAAGATAATAATGGAGAGAAGAAAAAACCATAAAAAGTATTCGAACAATACGAGGAATACACTGAAACAGAGTCATGAAAAAAGATACAAAATTAAATCCAATGATTTTCATAATTGAAGTGCAAAGAAGAATTGAAATAAGAATTGCTTAATAATATTCTCTTTTTTTTAAATTTCCTACAAATTTGTTGAGATATACATTGCATTAAATTTAAAAAAATAATTGATAAAACCAGGAAATATCAAATTAGCACTAACATATTTCAACGAAACATTGTTTCATAATACTTGAACTTTAAAACACATTTTTTTGTTATCATTGCCACTTGTTCTATTGCGAGATGATAGCCTTAATACAATGTAAATACAGGCTTCGTTGTTAAAACGTCGAAAAAAATTAATCAGCATATGACGCAAATAATGGTCATCGTTGTTACATAATCCAAGTTTCATCCTTTGTTTTTATGTAAAAACGATGATTATAAATTCTAAATTTAAAACTACGATAAATAATTATCATAATGAAATAAAATAAAATTCTAATATGCATATGTAAACATTGGGGCTTGGGCTTTAAATGAAGAAGAATTTTCTCGAAGAAATCTTTATTCTACCAAGGATTATAGAGTGATTAACTTACAGTATGAAGAAGGAATCAGAAGAATTCACGTGTACGATAAATAAATAAGAAAAGAATATTTACTAAAAATTGTTTACCGCAACGTTAGTTTAAGTTGATGTGACCTCTATCTCGTTTAGTTTTTAAGTTCAAGGTCCCTATTCGAAGGAGTACTGGCTCCTCCAACGGAAGCGTGTCTTTTCCTTTGAACTTATATATAGAATGAATCCATACGAGTCGACTAATATAAGTCACTCGGGCGAGTGACTCCGGTAGTCGCGTGTGCTGCAATGACGAGAGCATTCTCTTAAAGTGATCTAAATGACTTTGGGACGTGACGTGATAAACGAAGAAAAGAGTGAGGCCGAGGTATGACGATTGGAACGTTCTTTCGAGGTGATCCACGATAGTAGAGTGTGCCTTGTGTTACGTCGCAGTTTCTTCATCATCCTGGTTACAGACGAAAAAAAATTCCTTTCCGACGGATAATGGACGATAAACAGATGTACGAGAACTCCAGCGACATACCGAAGATTAACGTGCAGCGTGCAACGATTAAGGTTAGCGAGGAAAGGCTGCGGCGATACTCGTTAACCAGTTTAAGAGATTGTCGTCTCTCGGTTGACGAAAACGACTATTGGAGAACGGTAGAAGGAGACGCCGGAGCACACGAAAATGTTGAAAAAACGAGTCAGTCAAAAATGAAGCCGCTGGCTAATCACAAAAAAAGGACCAGGCATTATTCTTTGACCAGATTAAGAAATCGTCGTTCTTTTCTCAATTTCGATGATGACAAAAACATCTTGACAAAGACAGGTGTTAACGAGACTGCTAAAGACAAAACGACACAAACTTTGAGGCTACCATTACCTGGTGAAGGAAAAACGATACATTGTTCTTTGTCGAATTTGAACGATCCATCAAACGATCTCCTATCCACTAGATTGGCTTCCTTTAGATCCGTCAGATATCGACAGTCGAGTAGCTCGGAGAAAATCGTGATCGATGATATCCCTTTGATCGAAACCACGAACGATCACGTGGAAATTGATGCCGGTACACCTCCGCCAGTTGACGAATCTCTCTTCTACGATAATCTCGACGTATTTAAACAAGCACAGATCAACAGTAACGATCTTAGATCGATCATGTGGTCGATCTTTACGACTGCAGAAATGAAGATACTGCTCGAGCTAGAAAAATGCAATACTTTGCCGGCGATGCCGCCGGGAGAACGAATGAGGAATATAGCGTACATGTGGTCTTGTTACCGTGGTTTAGTGCATCTGCTACCGAAATTGGAACAATCAGGCGCGAGACTCGATTACGTGGAGCCTTGTACGGGCATGAACGCCATCCTAGCTGCTTCGTTAAGCGGTAACGTAGCTTGCATCGAGCATTTGATAAAAAGGGGCGTTGATATCAATTACAGGAATCCAATCAATCATTATACGCCTCTTCACTTCTCTGTCCTCGGAAATTCGCCGGATGTAGCGCGAATACTTCTTGATAACGGCGCAAAACCGAGCACGTATCTTTATCAGGAGACGGTCGAACCAGTTTTACATTGCGCTATCAGAGCAGGAGCTGTAAAAATAGTGAAGTTATTGTTGGAACAAGGAGCAAGCGTTGTCGAAAAGAATCACATGGGCGAGACGCCGCTTCATGTAGCTTGTTTCATTCAGTCGATAAAATGCGTTGAATTACTTCTAGATTCGCCTGGTACCAACATCAACGCGGTGGACCGAGCTCATAGAACTCCTCTACATTTCGCTGTGATGACTACTTATTCTTCTGCGAAGCTCGTAGAACTTCTATTAAAACACGGTGCCCTAGTGAATGCCGCAGACAAAACTGGCTTCACTCCTCTTCATGTGGCGGCCCTGAACGAACAATCTCACTGTGTCGATGTACTGATTTGGGCCGGTGCAGACGTTAGTGCGACCACCAGTGCCGGACTTTCCGCCTTGAACATTATACTTAGGAAGATACCAGAATCTCTTCAGGTGTTCCGACAGAGATTAGATGCCTCGATAACACTCAGAAGACCCGTTCCTCATAACAGAGAGTTCGAAATGAGGCTGCACTTCGATCTACTCTTCCCCAGTGGCAATCAATGCGAGACCAGCTTCATAAACACGTTTGTCCAGGAACGTCGTAAAGATTTACTATCGCACCCATTGGTAATGGCTTTCTTGCATCTAAAATGGGAGAAGATAAGAAAATTTTATTTACTCAGGATCCTAGTTTACGCCATGACCGTGATCTGTATGACGACTTACGTGCTCACAGCGCTAGCTTACAAATGTTACAACTACGACGAGGCAAATAGCTCTAAGATTTGCAGCAGCAAACGTATTTCTGGATTTCTGTTCAGACGACCAGTGATTGAGATTCAATGGTATCTCTTATTAATCTTCACTTGCATCTCCATTCCTAGGAAGATATTCGGTTTCATGGTGTACACATCCGCGAAACAGTACTTTTCCAATATCGACAATGTGCTAGATGGCATCGTTATAATTAGCGTTTTTGTTACGTCATTCGTGTATACAGGACGTACATACGATTGGCAAAATTACGTCGGAGCATTCGCGATACTGTGCGCCTGGACAAACTTAATGTTGATGGTTGGCCAACTTCCAGCCTTTGGCACGTATGTAGCGATGTTTACCCACATACAGTTCGAATTTGCCAAGCTGTTGCTCGCTTACTCTGGATTACTGATAGGGTTCACTATTAGCTTTTGCGTAATTTTCGTCGGTGAACCATCTTTTGGCAACCCTTTCACAGGACTCATTAAAGTGCTGGCGATGATGGCCGGAGAGTTGGACTTCGAGGGACTGATCACGCAAATCGATGAAGGTTTAGAAGGAAGCTCCGAGGGACCTTTCGTTATTTATCATCCATTGTCGGTATGCTCTCAGATCCTCTTCACGCTATTCATCGTGTTTGTCACAGTGATCTTAATGAACTTGTTGGTTGGGATCGCTGTTCACGATATTCAAGGATTAAGGAATCATGCTGGTCTCACGAAGCTTGTACGCCAGACAAAATTGATCCTGTTTACGGAGATGGTGTTACATAATAGTTCGATTCCATACGCTTTTCGAAAGTGGATGTCCGATCACAAGATTAACGTGGAAAACAGAAAAAGGGTTTTGGTAGTGAAACCGTTGAATCCTTTGGAGAAAAGGCTTCCGAAGGACATTCTAAAGGCTGCTTATGAAATCGCACAGAAAAACATACCGTTTATGAACGATGATAACATTAATCTGAGCGACCATGTAATGAGGATGAGACAGCAGAGCGAGGACTGCTTTGACTCAAATTTACAACTTGTTATCGAGAATCTGGCCAACAAACTACAGTCCTACGAGGACACGATCATGTTGCTGAAGGAGCAATTATTAAATACTAATAAAATGCTGGAGAGTGTTGTGAAAAATCTGACAAAGGAAAAGAATAATTGAGATCAGCTAGGTACTGATTGAATTGAAATTACCAAAATGTAGTTTAATCTTTGGGAACCATGGACACACCTTAACTGTAGTTAGTTAGTAATGTGCATGTGAACGATTGCAAATGATCAAAAACATATTTTGATGTTTAATGCGTCGATCGAAATCCGACAAAATCGATCGACTTAACTTTCTTAGTAAATATCATAAGTTTAAGTATTATAATGAGTGACATATGGGGGCACAGAACCGAAAGTGAAAGTGAAAGTAGAAAGAGAAATATATTTAATAACAATGAGACATTAAGATTAATGGTATTAACTTCTATTCTTCTTTTTGTACCTTTTAGATAAACTCTTTTATATTCCATATTTGTAATACTTATCAAATATAGACATTAAACTTACAGCAATAGTAATTATAAAAATATAGATAAGTATTTGATAATGAGAAAATGTAGCAACGTTATTCAAAGTACGGTGTTTATTAAACGTATAAAGTACATCACGTTCGCAACATTTTAAAGGGAGAGGAAAGTTGCCAAGAATCAATACCTTTTGCTAACGGACACATTTCACTGTAAGAAATTTTGAATTGACTAGGTAATTGAATTGACTAGTGCATTTTTTAATGTTCAAAACTTCTGCAAAACAGAAATTTTTTATATAGGTATAAAAAATCTTCAATTTATGCACGTTATATAGTAAAGTAACCACGATACGCCCTGAGGTACATAAATTTTAATGATTCTCAAACGAAGGCTTAAGTTTTGCTAATTTTAGAGGCAAATAGAAATTATTCTTAACTGAACCTATTTTGAATTACAGATCATATTTCCATTAATTTTTACGGAAATGATTGACAAAGTTGATATTGAAGCAACTATTTCTGGTGGGGGTCCTACTGGACAAGCTGGCACTGTTCGACTTGGTATTGCAAAGGGGCTTCAAAGCTTTGTCGATAGTCAAATGAGAGAAAGAATGAGACTTGGTAAGGAGAACCCAATTTTCTAACTACTTACTTATCACGGTAATTGCTCAATTTCTAGATATAAATTATATTATATAGGAATAGTACTAATTGATTTCATGGAAAATGTGAATTTTTTAAGCTTTCTGAATGTATTTTAATAATGCATATATTCAATAATGCATTGATTTTCTAAAATATGTATGAAAATATTTCAGAAAAATTGGATTATAAAAAATTTGATTAATATTGGTTGATTTTCTAATTGCAAATTAAATTACTTATATTCTTTCTGATAACATACAATTCTATTTGAAAACACCCTGAAATTAAACTATTAAAAAGGAATTAAAGCGAGTCACTTAGCAAGAATTAACTTTCGTTTTGAACCTAATTATTTTAAGCTATTGAAAAGAAAAAAAGTTGTAATTTATTTTTCAGAAATATAAGTTGTACTTTACAATGAAAAATCTTACTACTGTGCAATTAACTGCACGTCCTCTATTAGAACAATGATTTTTACATACAATTTATAATTACAATGAAGTCAGTCACTGAATTCATTCAGCTATGATTATTTAATCGAATCCAAAAATATATAGTCAAATTATCGTTTTGTAAAATTCCTAAATAGTTATGTGCTATAATGAAATGTAATATTTGTTATAATTGAACAATTTCTTCTGTACTATTGCACATTTCAAGAAACATATCAGACAACCCTTACAATTACAATGTTATAAAGCATACTAACAAAATTTTATATGCCTACTACAATATACCCTTTTTATATCCTCTATAAATGACACGTAATAAAATATTCTTGAATTAAAATTAGATTTTTGCAGATAATACACTCGCTACAATTTACTGTGTACTCAAAGGATGTAACTGAAAATTAATTGAATTTATAATTTGAATTTTTTGTTATTTGATGTTTCGATAATAATGGAATCGATCAATAAGTGAAATGTCATTTGAATTTATCCTCAAGACTTTTAGTTGTTTCAAAGTTTAATAAAATTTTGTTTAGTTTTACAAATTATCAATTTATTTATACAAGAGAATTATTAAAAAATTACTTCTGTTAGCGGGCCTTCTAACATATGACTGGAGGAGGCGTGAAAGGAAGAAGTGGGGTCAGGAAGGAGCTCGCAGAAAATTTACGTGGAAAAAGCGTTAATTTTCCTTTTAATTTTCCGCACATTGAAATTTATGTATTAAATTTAAATGAATTTTTATAAAATACCCATTAAACATTTCGAGATAAAATGCATGTTAATATAAAGTGGATGTTTTGTAGAAAGTGGGACAAAAAATGATTCATCAATAAAATTATTAACTAAAATTTTTTTAAGGATGTTATCCTTAACCTTTGAAAAACATTATATAATACACATTCATGACCATGACGTTTAAATTTATTAAATTAATTGTATTATATAACATTTTCATTTTGTATAAAAGTTTTATTTTTCCATTTACATCTTTTCAAGAGGTGTTAAGCCAAGTAATTTCATACCTTGGGCAAGAGTAATTCTTGCTATATGAAATAATAATAATCTTTGGTTTCCTAAGTCATTTGATTGGTGTTTTACACTCAATTTGCGCCAAGCTATATTGATAGCTTTACTAGAGAAGAAAAATATAAAAAATAAATGTATAGAAAAGACTATATAAAATTAATGTATTAAAATTTTTAATATACCTATTTCATATATTTATACTAACCATAAATGGAAAAGATAAATTGTTAATACACATGGTTCTAATTCTTGATAGGATTTAAGTACAACTTCATCAAATTGACTAATTAGTAAAATTAATTGATCAACTTCTGCTTCTTTTAAAAGACTTGAATCACACTCTTTTACTAATGTAGCACCAGATAACTCTTCCAAACTGCATAAACGGCAATGAGCATATTGCAATTTTATTCCAGAATTACCTTTCATCTGATATTAAAATATATATTTCACTAAACAACAATATATCGCTAAATAGCTTTGAAATATTCTTTAAAAGATTTCAACTTATCTAAATAACTTACATCAAGCATTAAATTCCAATCAAACTCGTAACTATTCATTCTACTTTGTTTTAAATCTTGAATAATTACACCAGAAACACCCAATATATCAGAGGTCTCATCTATTTTATCCAACGGAATTTTAGTTGCTAAAATAATTGTATAATACAGATATATTTCATTACCACTCCTCAATTATATTTTATGTATGACTATAGATAATATAAACTTACTCTTTGCATCCAATTGTTTTTGTTTCATAATTTCCTTTGCTTTGTTTAAAATATCTTCTAAAAATACCACTGTACCTTGTCGCGTGCTCATACCATGTACTCTTCCAAACTTAACATGTTTTAATCTATTTACCCAAGGTAAATTCATTTTATTTAAAATTTGGATTAAACTAGTAAAATGGTCAGTTTGACCATTTTCTACTATGTAATACATAGCATCAAATTTGTTTCTCTCAAATCTATCAATAGCAGCAGCAATATCTCTACTTATATATAAACTTGTACCATCACTTTTTATAATAGGAACACTTTTTTCTTCGCTCAAAGGTATTACTTTCCTATTTTCATTATCTAATTTTAACAGCTGCATTTCTCCCATCTTATCAATTATCTTATTTATTTTTTTAGCTGTATACATAGATTCCCAATCATATCGATCAAATGTTACACCTATTCTTTTGTATGTTCTTTCCAATTCTAAGACAGTAAAGTGTTTGATTGATTCCCAATTTTTATAAACTTCATTATCTTCTAATTCTAATTGTCTAAATATTTCCTTAGCACTCTCATTTATACTTGGATCATCTTTAGCTAATTTATTAGCATTAACATAAGCTGTGTACAATGTTTTAATGGGATCTGTTTGCATTTCTATATTATCAATGTTTGCCATTTTCATTCCTATATAAACATAACCAAACTGTGTACCCCAATCACCTAAATAATTTATCTTTGTAACTTGATTTTGGCAGAAACTATTTAAATTAGCAATGCAGTTTCCGATAATTGTAGAACGTAGGTGTCCTATGTGAAAGGGTTTGGCAATGTTCGGTGAACTAAATTCTACTATAATGTTTTTATTAATATCCACAAGTGGTGGTCTAACACCAGAAAGATTGCTTTCTAAAATTTGCTTTATATACTTATCTCTTAGCACATTGAAGTGTATAGTATTATCTTGGACTGTAATATTATCAAAATCACCCTTTAAATCATTATCTGTAATATCTTTCACTTTATTTGTTAAATTATAATCTTTTGATTTTAAAGGAAGTACAAAGGTATATGTATCAATCTCCTTATTAAATGTGATACGCAAATTAGACATAATCTTATATTGACATGCATTGTCTATATTTTGTAGTTGTTTTATAATCTAAAAGAAAATCAATTTATATAATTACACATAATTTAATAATTTATTGTATTATAGATATGTAGGAAATTTTTAAATATGATCTTTACGATATAAAAGTTTATAATGTGTAAATATAATGTTAATGCTAGTTACGTTTAATTCAAAATTTAAATAACTCGCATTAAGAATAAAATTATTTCATCCACATATGTAACATATACGTTATTAATTGTTTAAGTAAAAATAAATAGTATATTTAAATATAAAACATAGAGTTATAAAAATTAAACTTCTTAAGATATTAAACACCATAACCAAGGTAATAACATTAAAATGATACCTTTTTAAATATTACAGTCCGTATGAAGTTGCTCATGCTGCAATAATAAAAATTATTCTAAAATAGATCTCTTAATCCGTAAGGCAAAAAATCCATTAAGATTAATACAAATATAAGTTTTGAAAACTCCTTTACAGTATCCTATGGAAATCCTTGTCCGTATCGTCATTACGACATATGTACATTTCTACTTATTCTATTTTTTTTCACAAAAATATTTATGTATCGTTTAATTAAATTCAAATTTTTGCAAAGTATTCACATCCATGACATACAATATATTATAAGAATTATAAAAATAATGGTATATGTCAAACAACAATGAAATTATAACCTCTCTACGAATTCTGTTATGAATCCTCTAAAAATTTTTTAAATTCATTTTCATGATTGCTTATAGACATTTAATTACGTTAATCAGCTAAATATATAAATCATTTGTGTATATTTTTTAAATACAAAAGATTCGGGAGATAAACTTTTCATTTTTAGTATGACATATGACGTGTATTTAATTTTTGTTATTTAAATAAATCATTTATATAGATAGTACACTAAATCAAATTTTGTAAACGTAACGTATTTGTATTAAAGTATTTTCTAATTTATAACAGTGTACTGTTTTATTTACATTTATTTATTATTTAATATAACTCTGTGTGGAATATATGTAAATATATGTATGGAATAGAAAAGTATGGAAAATCAAATTCACTCTGAACTAATTGTAAAAGAAGAGGAAGAAGAAGACGATGAAAAAGAGAAAGAACAAAAATGTGATACTCCTACTAATGAAACTAAAAGTATTGTGCGTGATGGAGAATCAACAATTGGTATCAGACCAAGACCATTAATTTGCAAACCAGAAAATGTAAATATTGGGTGCAAGTCTGAACCTATAGAAACTAAATGGCATTGGGCTCCAGGAGCATGGCAAGATGCTACAAGAACCAGTGCCTTCCAACCATATAGGGTATATATAATATCTATATATATCTTATTTCAAATGTTTAAATAAAAGGCATATTATAAATATTTCCCTAACCTAATATTTTTTCCAGCCTCCTACGTTACTTACTAATTTACAAAGAGGTAATACACAAACAGAAATATCTCAACTTTATGGTGGTAGCGATATTACATTCCATACATTAGCTGGCCAAGGTGAACTTACACCTGAACACATACATCCAAGTATGTTATTTTTTTACAAACAAATGGTAATACATATTGTAGTTAATAATTGTTAATAAATTGTTATAAAGGTACTGTTGATACACCTGATGAAAAGGGTTTAACTGGTCTTATGTGGGCTGCGAGATATGGACAATTAGGCAGTGCAAGGCAATTACTTAAAGCTGGTGCGAACAAAAACTACCGTGGTCTCAATGGAGAGACTCCTTTGCATTTAGCAGCTGCTTATGGACATCATGATCTTGTAAAATTGTTATTAAACCATGGTGCAGATTCCAATGCAAGCGATGAGGTACATGTTACATATAGTAATTTTTCTTACCAAATAAAAATTTTAAATGTTGATTTTTTGTTTTTAATAATAAAGGAAGGAAATACACCTTTGATATATGGAGCAAATGGAGATCATCCACATGTATGCTACGAATTATTATCTAGAGGCGCGGATATAACGCGTCGTAATATGTATAATATAAGTGCTTATCATGCAGCAGTATTAAATAATTCACTAACTGGTAAGCAAAAATCATACAATTAATATTTGGATACACTATATGAAATATTTAAAAATTTGCTTGATTTAATTGTCTTTTAGCTAAAGCAGTAATTGAAAATTATTTGATACAACAAGTGATAAACATATCACCAAATATATTGCAATAAAGTAATGCAATATAAATAACGTAAATATAATCTTAAAATTTGTATAGGTTTTAAAAAATTGTACAAATTACATAGTGATATTTACACTCGAATATTTTAATAAATATTTTTTATTTTTAATTCTATATAATTATTTATAGTAAATGTCTCCTGAAAAAAAGCATATGAATGAAATTTATATTCTCCTACAAACAAATATTCTTTTACGGACAATTTGTTGATTATTTATACATATTTAATAAGTAAATTAAATGGTAAATAAGTTTTTTCTTATTTATAAAAGTCTAATTTAAATAAAATTCTTTGAAAACTATTTACATGCAGTTATTGACTACATTAATTCCCTTCTTTTTTTTATCTACAAAAATCTGTCATTTTTTAAAAAAAAAGTTAGCAAGAAAGTATATAAAAGTACTAGACCTGAAAATAAAAAAATATTTTTGCATTTTCAAGAATGAAAGATATCAAAATATTAAATGCTCTTAATAATAATATTAAAAGAAAATAACAAGAATAAGTGAATGTAAATATGAGAGTAAATTAATGTTAAAAACCTACCAATTATGTTCGTATTATTTCTTTGTAGTTAATTATAATGTTCATGTATCTGTGCATGTATGTGTATATATGTATACGAAAATTAAATAAAATTATTTAATATAACATAATTCTTGTACATTGATATAAGTGTAATTCATAAAACTTCTCGTATTCTGTATTTACCAATTACAAAACATCTGTATACACTTTTCTGCAATAGTTCAACGTTAGACATGTACTAAATTAAACAAATCGTTTCAGAAGTATGTGTAAATTGCTGGAAATACATTCAAGCATCCATTGATAAAAATAAAGTTTATGTGACAATAAAATTGTAACCTGAATATAAATAAGCTGAAAATCTTTATCTTCAAAATTCCAATGGATAGTGTCCTGTATTTTTGTACATAGCACAAGCAATTATCTTACTCTTTAATAGATACTTTTATACCACTTCGTAGTTATCAGTAAAGAAAACTGTTTCCACCGAATATTTAACCGGACTTTCATCTTCTACAAGTAAAACTTCGGTTACCTACGAAAAATATAAAATTATTTAATTTTTTATGAACATATGAATGTTGAAATTTTATTCCTTGTTGTATATACGTAATATGAACACAAGAGAGTTGCATACTTTTATATTGACATATGATGTCTTTGATGAGAATGAAACAAGAAGGGGGAAGAAATCTGCAGGAGTAGACGACGGTGCTGAGAATTCCATTGAACCTGATTTTGACGTTGCATCAACCACTGGTAAAGACCATGCAAGCATATTTCTTCGTGCTTCGTATGTATATTGACCATCACATTCGTGTACTATGGGATTGCATCCCATAGGTAATGGAATGTTTATCTGAACATCATTTAATTCGAGGTTAACTTGTTCTAATTCATATTCTATGTTCACGTCACATCCACCTTCTCCGTTCTCAGATGGCCAACAATTAACTGTTTTAAGTAACAAAGAAGATTATTTCTTTATTACACAATAATGAATAAAGAATATATCCAAAGCTATATATAATTTGTATTTAGCAAATTATTCCTACTTGAAATAGGTAGTGCTGTTTCATCTTGAGCTTGCAATCGCCATTTTAATACTCCAACATCAGTATTCAATGGAAACGGTTTTGTAGGAATTTTTAAACCTATTTGACCACGTGTCCTGAATAATTCTTTATCTACATTTGGATGTGTTTGTAATTGAATTCCTCTTGAATCTCTGTTTTCTAATTGTACGCGAATTCGACCCCATTTTTCATCCGAAATATGTAATGTTACTAAACCATGCAATTCAAAGTGTTGTAAGCCACCGTCTCGACCAATTCTTACATTAAGACGTTCTTCTTGCCGCAGGTGGACTCTTAACATAAAAAAGCAATTGTTTAAAATTTATTGATAGTACATATACGTATATAAATTAAACTAATTAATATCTTACGGTTCAGTATTTATTATCTGTGGTGTAAGTGATGTTGATTTTGCTCCTGTTGTAGGTAAAGGTGTTGTTACAACATTTTCTCCTTCTTCTTTTAACTGATCTACAAAAGAATCAACATCACGAGATCTCCCTCCTAATTTCATTGCTCCTGGTCCAGTATTAACAGGCTTTCTGTATATACATAAAATAAAGATATGTTGTAGAATATAGTTTTTAATAAAATTACATTTACATTACATTATTTCTTACTGTGTTGGTGTATATGAAGGTCTAACTGGTTCTGGTACAAAATTGGTAGTATCTCTCACACTAAGTGATGATGTAAAGTTACCGCTGCTTCCATAAGAATTACCAAATCCAGGATTTTTAAGACCACTTTTTTTAACTGCTTCCATTCTTTGTCTTTGCAATTCCTTTGCTTTTTCACGCATTTTATTTCTAGCCTCTCTTTCCTGAGTCATTCTTACAGCTTGATAAACTTTTTCTTCGTGTGAATCCATTTCTACAAATGTTCTAATCTGTGCTAAATTAACACTTTCTCTATATCCTAATGCAACTATTTCATCAAATGCAAATATCAAATTGAATGCATTTTCAGCTATTTCAAGCTCATCCATTGAATTGCAATACTCAGGAATCTGTAAATTTATTATGTAGACTTATTAACCAAATTATTAAACATTAATTAGGAATCAATTAAATATACAAAATTGAAGTAATAGATACTTGTATTAATTTTAAATTTAAAATATACTTACAACTCTTGCAAAAAGCCTCAATGTTTCTAAATCTTCTAATATATTACTAGCTTTTGTTGTAATTAATAGCATATATACTTTTTCCAAAGGTTGATAAACATATCTCACAGATTCTGTTTCTACAAATGTATGTTGTTTACCAGAACTCATTAACTTTGGAAATGCAGCAAGCAAACCTTCTATTCTGGCCTTTGTCATTTCAACAAATTGGCGAGAGATAATAGCTAAAATTCATAAAGATTATTAGTTTGTTCATTAATTACAAATAATATTTAAAAATGCATTTGTATAGAAGAAGCATATCGTATATCACATTCTTTATCCTGAGATCATAAGATATCAATATTTTAAGCATACTTACTATAAATTGTTATTTAATAAGTATTTAAAAATTTATATAAAATAATTAAACATAAATTATTAAATTTACATTATTTAAAAATATCTGTTTATTCATTTATATAATATATAACAATAATATTAAATAACTAATTCAATACTAAATTTATAAATGTTACAATTAAAAAATTAGAAAAGTAACAGTATATATAAAACAAAATAAACAGCTGAATGTATTAAACAAATAAGATCAAGATTGCCCGACAATTAAGACGGTAATAATGTTTGATATCAACACATTTACAGAACACACATATATGCATAAACAGGTGTGGTCAGAGGAAATAAGTATTACTTACTTTTGCCTGCTTTTGTGCAGACTGCTGCAGCAATAAGTACCTAAAATAATACAAAATAATGTAATGTTGAAATACATTTTAATTTTATATGTGTTTAGTTTAGAACCACGAGCAGTGATTGACATCTGTGGCAACTTGTACCGAACGGCCTTGTCATAAATATTTTTTACAATTTACGTACATTGTTAATGATTCCAAATTAATGATAGACGAATGCTTACCATTTTGCTGAATTATTTAGTTATATGCTGTACGATTAACCCACTACAATTTTTACATAGGCCAATCTTCCATATACAATAAATATGAGATTACAAACAGAGGGCGCAGTATTCTGACGCGTGGCATGACGAAAGATATGAAATGAATGTACCATGAATTAGGCGATATTATAGAATTGGTATCGTTTTGAAATTTTCTGGTATGTCACAGTATGTTTATGATATAAGTAAATACATAACATGATGTATATATTGATATTTAAATTTGATATATACAGGGTGGTTGGTAACTGGAGGTACAAGCGGAAAGGGGGTGATTCTACGCGAAAACAGAAGTCGAAAATATAGAATAAAAATTTTTCATTTGAGGTTTTGTTTTCGAGAAAATCGACTTTGAATTTTCGCTCGGTACACGTGCGGTACGTTATAACGGATCTCACTGTAGATTGTTGTCTTAATGAAAAAATTAAAAAAAAAAATTTTTTTCTTAATTTTTATTCTATATTTTCGACTTCTTTTTTCGCGTAGAATCACCCCCTTTCCGCTTGTACCTCCAGTTACCAACCACCCTGTATATATCAAATTTAAATATCAATATATACATCATGTTATGTATTTACTTATATCAATATATATATATAAAATTTAAATACTTCAGTTACATTATATGCTGTCTTTTAAATCACAAATAAGTTATATAGATGTTGATTACATTTTTTGCGCCAATAATTTATCATATCGTAATATTGAGCTAAAATTTAAGCTTGTATTATCCCAAACCTATTCCAAACAATAGAAATACGATATATGGTATTAAAAATACGGTATATATGCATATATGAAATGTGCACAGAACGTTGATTTTGACATGTATCAATGTCATCGTAATCGGCAACCGTTTTGTAAATAAGTATTCAGAGAGAACCAGAATTATTCGCTTATCTCTTGTGTTAATATAGAACGCTGCAATGACATTGTTTATTATATTAATAAAGTAAAATGAGAAACTACTTAATACTGCACGTATACGTAACTAACGAAGGATACTGTTGATATGAATTAAGATTAATAAATGAAATTTTCCAGCTTGGGTATATGTAGCCAAATATTTTAAGTTAATACTGTATTATCTTTATTAACATCTGTAAATTATGATACAATCACAAAAATCTCGCGACCTTAAATTAGCATATAAACTACATCAACAAGATAATTGTTTTGGATTAACAGAAAATGCAATCTTACCAAAAAATGTAAGTGTATTTTACTATTATATTATCATTTAACGTTAATAATTGATATATACTTTGTACATAACACTTTATATTATAATGATTTTGTAAAATTTAGAA